ATCGGAAGCACCTGCCGTATTAATCTCAGGATCAAACTTTTGGGTGCCGATACACACTGCAAGTCAATTAATAAACATCCTGAATTTGCACATTTGGCCTATGCTTCCAACGATGTCAAAATGGCAAACCCTGCAAAGCAGGTGTTAACCAGCGCGCTCGCTTGTGATTCAACACCACTGCTCGCCGCAAGCGGCCGACCCTGCTTCCAAGGTCGGTTCCTGCGAGGGGCAGGCGGGGAGGCTGCTGCCCCTCCTAGCAGCTAAAATAATAAAACTCATAACACTAATATTAACTATGCGTAGTCTAAACTACTAATATAGATTTTTCCGAATTTTCGTTTTATATGTTGTTTATTTTTGTTACAAATACATTTCGTCATGATAAACCTTGCCGCAACCGCTCATCTTCCATCCAACATGAGCTAACTCCCCCCCCCCCTGGAGCTCTTTCCTCACGAATTTGAAAGTTCTTGTCTGCGTATACTGCGAAACAGATCAGTTGTGTAAGCACACGCGAAATGTCGGTGCAAACTGGAAAAGTGCGGTAAAGTTGTACTTCGGAATTTTCGAATGAGAGAATTGATTCATCGACGCAAGTAGGCCCAAATTAATGAACGGTGATTTTTCGCGAACAAAGAACCAAAATGAGGCCATGACATGTGAATTTGATTCACAAAACAACTCCTAAATCAGTTCTTTACATAATTTTAATATAAAGTGATACAGTAGTTGTATGACATGTTTTCAATATTTAATAGTTATTCATATTGACGATATTCATAACGAAAAAAGTAACAAACTTTCTTTGGTAAGGAAATGAAATACCTCAAATAAAATGGACTTTTACAGTAAGAAAAGCATTGAATGTCCTGCTCCCACAGAGTGTCATTTGACCTTGAGGAAACACCCTCTTCAACGCCAACCTCGGCGCCCGCGCGCCCGCGCGCTCGCCGCTCAGCCTGCGAGGGCTGTCCAAGTTCTCTGTAGAAACGAAAAATAGTACGAAAATGTGGGCAAATTTGGGAATTTTTAAAGTAATTGAAAATATGAATCGTCAACCACAATTTACATCGTGGTATCAGAAGGGCATGTAAATTCAATGAAAAAAGTGAGGGCATGTTTTGACGTGTCTCAAGCGACATTCCTTTGTCAGTGCTTCGCGTCCTCTCTGCGACACAGCTGACGTCACGATTCACGAAGGCTCCAAGGAAAATACCCCCCACCCCGCCATTATACATTTGTTTTCTACGTTGCGTTTTGTAACAGCAACTTTTGTAATACTATTCTGAACATGTAAAGAACTGTTGAACTGTTTATCCGTATATATTATAGTACGTTAGTACAGTTTTCGGGTAGACTGTTTTCTGTTGCAACAGTTAATTCATTGTCGTGTTATAGGAGAGTATTTTTTGGTTCCTGAGCCGTAGACTTGGTACTTTTTGGAATATCTTTTGTTCAAGAGAAGTTTTGCTGCAGGATGCCACTAGCATTAGGCATAAATGTTTGATGTAAAAATCGATAAGGTTGGTTAGATCCATCCACTGCTGTTTTGTCAATTTAATGTAAAAAGAAAAAAAATCTACGAAAAGGAAAGTATGGCGATCATGTAATCAGTAGGAAGCGGCCTTATATGAAATGTCATTTTTGTCTTTTCACTTCAGAAGAATGCTGTTTAGTGTAGAAATTAATTTTATGTTAAGACAAAAGGTATTGACCAATTTTTAAGTCATTTTTTGCATATTTGTCGATTTCGACTAATAAATAATTTCTTCCTTTTCCGTCATTTTTAATCCATTTTCGCTAATTTCATCGATTTTAATATCATTTTAATGATACTTGCTTCAAATAATATTTACGTAAAGCAACAAATATTCTCTACAGAATTCCTGAGTAGCCCATTCTTTCTTTCTTCGCTCAGAAATTGTAATGCCAACCGTAATCTAAGTTTTCCGTGACGCCTACCAGCGCCATTGACGGTTCAGTTAGTTTAGGGATAACAAAAGACAGATTTCCTGGTAAATAAGTCCAAACCAAAAGTTTGAATTCATTTGAACGAAGAGAAGCGGTCTCGATTATATCAATAACGCAACCAACAGCACGAGTTGGTGACTGGTTTTGATCAATTTTTTTGGCGTATTTTCTAATTTTTATTTAGGGCATATAAAAAAAATTTAAGAGCATTTTACTGATCATTTTTGGCGATGTTTTTGGTCATCAAAATCCACTCGCCCCCGTAATCGGTCTTCTGGAAATTAAATAACATATCCTACAATATCCTACAATATCCCAAATTGTTCGTAAAAAAAATAAAAAAGGAATATATTTAACAGCATAAAAACGCTATTCTGACGTCGATGCCACGGTGTTTCTTTATTTATCTATTGAGGCTCCAGTTCTTCAGCAATGACGAAGCCGGCTTGAATGAGGGGGTGAGGAAGCGCTGCGTGTGCCTCTTTCACCTCCCCCTCTCGCCCTCCCTCCCACTCTCCCCCCTCCCCTCTTTCCCCCTCCCCTCTCCCCTCTCCGCCACCATCGTCGCTCCCGGCCGCCGCGCCGCCATTTTTGGTCTCCTGGGAGAGCGCCGCACTCCCAGAGATTGCTAGTGCAGTCGCTCGGACCGGCTTGATTTATCTCTCATCTTCGGATAAAACAAATTCAGGAGTCTTTATTTAGATTAATGGCGCCGAAGACTTATGAAGATGGAACATACTAGATGAGATGGCGCAAATATCCGTGGTTCGTTTGAAATCAATTGGCTGGGGATTGAGAACCCTTAGGGACTATAGTTGGTAGCTCGGCTGAGATGTGGGACGCCACGTAAAGTGGCTGCATTCACACACATTGATTGACAATTAGTGAAATGGGAAAATATTATTCATAAGAAACTCAATTGTGAAACTTCGAAACAAGACGAGAGTAAATCATTTTATTCATGAATATGTCCTTGTTATGAGAGTTGAATTGACTCAAAACGTACACAATTACAGTTTACAGTATTTTTTAATTGTTGAATTACTGAAATATAATATAAAGAAATGTTGTGACAACGCTTGTTTAACTTTCCACCTCTTTATTGAAAGTATTGTAGAGCATCAAATTTACGGACAACAAAAATAAGGACTGTGAATGCAGATTCCATACGGGTGAAAAAAATTCATGAAGTGAATGCATTTCTGAACATATTTTTCAAGTCTTAAACCTTAATGAATCAACATTATAATTTTATTAAAACTAACTGCTGAAAATTATATAATAATAGGTGCCAAATAAGTTTCAAATATGTTATTTTAAATTAAACTATTATGAGCAATAATAGAAAGTTATAGGTAAATGGATCTAAGAGAAATTTTACAGCAATAAAAAGCTCAAATGTTGTACGATTGTAACGATAGTATTTTTATTGTTGTGTGCTTTACTGTAAATACTATTGGTTATTGAATCCTTAGATGAACTGTAGTACCTCAAATAAGATAAGATGGTTCATATAGTACTGAATACATTGTAAAGTATTTTACTATAATTAATATCACAAAACATTTACTGTATTAGTGATTTTATTCATCCACTCCATTTCGTAATCATCAGTGAATTATTGACAATTTTAACAAGAATGTTTACAGAGAAGAGTCTCCTGTCCCTTTTGTCGGTCCATTTCGAAAATCCAGACTATTTGATAATCGTGATATGGATATTTATTAATTAACTCGAATATTTGACGTAGTATTTAAATCTAAAGAAATTCATTTCCTTCCTCAACTCCCAAAAAGGCACACACAGTGTTACATTCAGCGTACATAAACTTCAACACGTAAATTCAATTGACTTTTTCCTCACAGAGTTATCACAATAGTTGCGACATGTTCTATCTACCTTGAAAGAAACTAGTGGGGCTATAACAACACATACTTTGTCGCAACATTACAATGTTATCGATATGTACGACGGGACGCCCATATATGTTTCATTGATTTCAAACAGAAAGTACGCGAAAACTACTAACTTTTATAAAAAGATTGTACATGATCTTTTTCAAAGAGCTAAATTTGTATGCAGCAAAAATTTCTATCTTCAATTTTCTGGTTTTTAATTTTTTTAAATTTTTGAAAAAACTCATTCCCGACAATGGAACCAGCACCATATTTTTATCGTCCCTTATTACATATATAGAGAAAATTTAAAGAAAAAAATTGGAGCGGTTTTTGAGAAAAATTCGTAAATTGCAAGAGAAAATTACACAAAAACCACTCGTTTTTTTAAAATGTACATGGCCTCTTATAGAGCTAATGTAGTTCAACAGACTTTGTGTGAGATAAAAATATTTATCTTCAATTTTGTAGTTATAAACCTTTTTTGCAATTTTCGAAAAATCGAGAATTTTAATGAATTTGAGATATACATTATTCTCTTAAACATCCTTTGCATAACAACAAAACTTAATCAAACAATTCGAAAACTTTTTGAAAGTTTTTAAAATATCCAAGGGGCTTCATGTAAAGTAGCCCCCAAAATTCAAATATAGATTTCAAATCTAAGGGACCGCGACAGCCAGAACAAATGGAAAATATCAATTTTGGAAAAACTCAGCTAAACGGTTATACGCTAATATTTACCACAGACGGACAGACGTTTTGCTGTCAATCGATTTTTCGATATCAAGAACAGTTAAAACGGGTTCTGGCTTCAACACGCGTTAGATTGTTTTTTTTCTTTCTAAATTTAGCAACAGGATTTATCCAATTTCTCGTTACCAGAGCCTGGCAATAAGTTGTATTTCTGTCCAAAATTCGGTGTTTTCTGGTACCTAACTTTCCCTCCTTACGTTAAAAAATCTAACTACACTTTTTCGTTTATTTTAGATGGTTAAGTTGGTATGCTTGTTATTGATTGCTAAGAACTATTCTCACGCTTTTGTTTCCCTGATTGCAGAAGAATAAATAACATGTATGATACATTTACACCATTTTAAATTTTTTATTAATATATATTTTTTTGTATTGTAGCTTAATTTTATCCACCTAATGAGATGGATACCATCAATTTCATAGCAAATCCCAGCGTCCAAGAGTTTTATAAGGAAAAAAATGTAAGGGACAGTAAAACAAAAGTACTACCCATAGAGTTCATGCCACCAGCGACTTGTAAGTATCAATGCATCATATTTTTACATTAATTAACTTACATTTGTCATTTTTCTTTAAGTGCTAATTTCTTTTCCAAATCAGATGAACCCGTCCGCTTCAAAATAGGCTCCTATCACGCTGCAATAGATCATAATGATTTGAATGATCCTTTCATAGATGTTTGGTTGAAAAGGATGGTCAAACTCACTCCACGGGAGAAATACAACCGCCCAATGACTGTTAACACTGAGTAAGTAAATTTTTATGAGTAAATTAATCCATTGTGTAAATATAAGTAAAATATACCATTATAACAATAGTAATTCATATGTATGAATGACTGCCATTCGTTAATGTTGGACTCATCAAATGAAGTCCAATTTCTGGCTGGTGATCCGCATCAGTTTATATCAGATCCGCATTCAGTAGGGACTCTGAGAGTAATGAAACATCTGAATTAATTTGTTCCTCTTACTCCATTTTGTCTGATTCTTCAGATACGGTTGGTATTCAAAGCCACTGGTTTGCCCATCCAAAACGAAACCTCTGTACAACCCACGCCCATATTTTTGGGAAACTGAACACTACATTAAAATGCAATCGTTGATTCGAAAGGGTGTGATGAATAAATGATGGCATTCGAAGAATATTTCTAAAAGTAAGAATCTTATTTGAGCGTTTACCTTTTTAAAGTGAAATGCCTATTTTCGTTTATTCTCACTTTTTTAAAATATTTCTTATGACAATTTATATTATATTAATTACAATGACAATTATATTAATTTATCTAATACCTTTGTATGTGTTTGAATAAATTTGTGTCGTCTCTTGTACTGCGTATTGAAAAACCATTTCCAGAAGAAGATGCAACTGCTATAATGTATTAAAACTATTTTCCTTGAGCATAAAAACGTGTTATGATCAAATATGATGCTTTAGATAAAAAATAGTTTCAGCCTAAGAAATCTCTGATTTTTCTTTCCCGTATACATATGTATACACGAAGTGATAACGAAGTAATATACGTAGTATAGAGAAATTTATGCAATGCTGCGGGATATCGATATCGAGATTTCAACGGAACTACATTTTTCCACTACCATGGTACCGACAACGTGTTTTTCTTCAAAACTTCCGTCTTAATCGAAGCCCCCTGGGACACTTTCAAAATTGTCTCAAAAGTGGTTCCAATTTTTTTCTTTAAATTTCTTGTAAAAATAGACTGAAATACACTTATGAAGATGGCTTAAATCGAATTTTCATTGTTCGCTTTTTTAAATAATAATGTACTTATGGGGCTATATTTTACCCTTCTATTTCCAATCCCAATTCTTTCGCCAATTTATCAATTTCCAATTCTTCTATTAAAGATCCGCAAATTTGAGAAAACATGTACAAACGTTTAGGCGCTAATAGATGTAATGTAGCAGAGATGCCGGAGACGGCAGCTGAGATGACGTCGAGGCAAAACGAAAATGAGCGCGATACAATATTTTGATAATATTTCACGGCAAATACATATGTTAAATATTCATAATACATTTAATTAAATTATACCGGGTGTTTATTTTATCGTTCGTCGAAGATTCGGGCCGCGTCTCCCGGGGAGGCGGGGACGGTCGCCGGGCGAAGCGCTGACCCAACTCCCGTGCTGACACACGGGAACTATCGCTGCGCTAATCATACCTTACAGGAGATGATGGAAGCGGTGTCCTTCGGCTATAATGCATTCTTGGCACTAACGAGACACATTCTGATTTGCCTTTGAAGTAAGTCTCGAGGAATTACTGTGATTTTCTTTTCAATAGAACGCCGGAGCTTTCTCCGAATGCGATACGATTTCTTAATAGGTCTGATCTTTCAAATATCCCCAAAAGAAAGTCACTAGCTGTCAGAACAGGTGACCTAGGAGACCATAACCCACGACGAACCCATTATATACAGTATTTAAAAAGTTCATGGATCGATCAGCAGTGAGCAGTTACCGAATCCTGTTGAAAGTAACAATAGAGCATTGCTTGTAATGTCAATTGTTCCAAGAATGTCAATATCTGATTTATGTAAGCATCAACAGTAACGGTTGTGTTGAAAAAAAGAAGGTCCTTATTAATTCTCGTGGAACTCAACGCACACTGCGCTTCGTGAAGCGGATGAGGGTTTTCTGCACTCAAATACAAGTTGTTTTGTCTGTTGTATCTACTGAGATGAAACCACGCTTCATCAGAAAAAAAATCAAATTATGTTCCTTTGGTGCCAAGTATACATTCGAGCCAAAGGACACCGCTTTTATTATTTTCAGTAAGATAAGATTAGCGCAGCAATAGTTCCCGTGTGTCAGCACGGGAGTCGAGTCAGCATTGCGCCCCGTGACTGAGCCCTTGCCTCCCAGGGTGACGTTGCCCGAATTTTGGGAGAGCGATAAAATAAACCGACGTATTAAATACATACAATGAACTGCATGCTTGCGCGAATATTTATGATTTTATATGTATTTTTTTCAAATATTATATTGAACAGTTTCTGACGGGGAAAAATAAATTACACGGCAGATATCTCTAGAGAAATACAAGTCTTTAATTTTTTTATGGTTTTTCGAAAGGGTTATGATCGGCTACATTATTTCAGATAGCATTTCGGCAATTTGTTTTCTCAGATCGTTAAAGAAAACAAAGCACTGGCAACTTGCAGGAATACGTCCTCGTCACTACGCTGGGCCGAGGCCGCATCCTCCGCAACAAATGACCAGAAAGATCAATAGCGATCGCGCAGCGGAGCTGAGGACACCCTCTGTTGACACACAATGGTCGCGTGCGTCGGGGCCACGTGCCCAACGCGCCGCGCGCCTAAGGGCGAGATTCGCTCGGCAGCCCCGCCTCGATCGACGCGAGGCCCGCGCGGGCGGCCCTTAGGCGCGCGGCCCTCTGGGTCAATGGGGCTGGCTCGAGCGCGTGCCCGGGCGTGTGAAACCCGCTCGGGGGCGGTTTCCCACAGTCCGCCGCCGCCGCCGCCGCCGCCGCCGTGCACCTTTCCGCCCGGGGCTTTTAATTGTGGTTTAACGCGGCGGGGGAGGAGGCGCGGGGCTGGTTGAATTCGATTGCCGCAGCTGATTCCTCCCCCGCCGACGCCGCCGTGGGAATGGTAAACGCAGCTAAGTGATTCATAAGCTGCCGATTCGCCGGCGTCGCCCCGCCCTCCGCTGGCGATGTACCTCTCGTTGCTTTCTGGTGCCGGTTGATGCACGGCGTGCTGCCGGGTGGCCGACTGCATCGCCAGATGGCCGACGTGTGTCGCGTGTGAACGGTGCACAGACGAGCTTCATCACATTTTGCACCTGCTTAAGAACGTGTCGCGACACTTCTGCGCGCCGGTCAGATGTTTGATTATGCGCCGTGTGGTGTAGGTAAGCACACTAATTGACGAAGGACTGATTGGGTATTTATGTATAAAATTATCAACTGAGAAATCGCAGCAACACAACTTTCAGTTTTAAGACCAAAAACTCCCAATCATTCTCACTACACGTCTTGCTGATATTCCTTTTTTTCGGCTTTTTTTAAACATGTTATACAGAGAAATTGCGTTAGGTTCTAGGCCAAGAATTGTCAAGGAATCCTAATACTTGCTAAAAATGAATTTCAATTTTCTAGTTTTATTCTGATATAACGGCCAGGGCATTTTCTGAGCAGCGGCAAGTTAGTACTCTTTCAATCGAATAACTTCATTACTATCGTGAAATAAATTATTTATAATAAAAAATCAAGACTATTTCCATATCTCTTTATGGGAATTGTACAAAATTATGCGAATACATCTAATGTTGAGAAGTTCATATTTTTTTTATTGAACAGAAATTTCGTAATTTAGTTATTTCTAATTTTTTGGAAGAACTGTAGTAGATAAGGTAGTTAAGATAATAGCTGTATTAAAGTCTCGTTTGAAACCAGCAATTTTTGCAAGGTTCGTGTTATAATATTTGCTCTGTAATGCTATTTGAAGAGTTTAGTACTATGAGAAAAAGTGACCCCACCTGCACACAAAAATATTTTTTTTCTGAAGATTCATTTTATTATGGAAAAATCAATTCTCTTAATGCAATGTCGCTTCATGAGAGATTCGTTGAAGTTATTTAATTAAATGTGAAGTTTTTTACTGCAATAAATGATGTCCTTTGAATGCTTTTGACAATTAGACGGGCAATTTATTGGTGTGTCTAGTATGTGCGAATTGTGAAAAAAAGCTGTAAAATTTATTTATATTGTTATCTGTATATAATTTTAAAATTTATATTATTAATAAATTTAACTTATTATTTTCTACTTAACGATTATTTTTATTTTTAAACACGATTTAAGTAAAAGTTACATTACACTGTTTCCTTTGCCAAAGTATGTCTTTATATCACGAAGACTAAAATGCAATGAACTGTTCTAGCTTCAGAGAGTACGAGCGCAAGACTGGAGGTACGCTTTCTTTACTCTGTACTGTTTCTTCAATCCCTCTGCGTTAAAAGTACAAAGCAGTACAAAACTGTACTTTTAACGCAGAGGGATTGAAAGTACAAAGCAGTACAAAACTGTACTTTTAACGCAGAGGGATTGAAGAAACAGTACAGAGTAAAGAAAGCGTACCTCCAGTCTTGCGCTCGTACTCTCTGAAGCCAGAACAGTTCATTGCAAGTGAGGTTCGGTAGTATTACGGTTAGCGTATCGCGCTGTTATACCCAACACGTGACATTTTAAGAGCGAAAAGATTCTTCGCACATCTTCCTTCAGAGGGGAAGTAAATCCGTCTGTCTAGAATGAAATACAATACAAACAAATAAATTAATAATAATAAAAGTAATTTAGTAATAATCATAATCCAATAAATTCCTACAGGAAAACTTTCTCATCAGCTGCAAACATCATTAGCAATAACTCTCCGCGTATTTCGAATATACTTTATACTTTCTTTTAATTGTGAAAGACAACGTCGATGGAAATGATTTCGTGTAATTCTTATTCTGCGCAGTTTTAACATGTTCCTCTTAAATAATGGAATACATTTGTTCTTGTGTTCAGTGAATCGCGCAAATGGTTTCAAATCCTCATCTCGACTAATGGGCACAATGCCACCCTGATTGACCGAGCAGTAATGACACTGAAAAAGCAAGCCGTGAAACACGAGCGAGATAACGAACGCCTGTCTTGAATTACGAGTGAGGGTGTGTCATCGGAGCTGCGTTAACGCGTTGCCTTCCGCCTGGACCGT